CCTGATAACAGCTCACTGCAACCTCTGCCACCTGGGTTCAAGAGATTCCTCCGCCTCAGCCTCCTGAGTAGTTGGGACTACAGGCGCATGCCACCACACCCAGCTAATTTTTTATATTTTATTAGAGACGGGGTTGCACCACGTTGGCCAGGATGGTCTCGATCTCCTGACCAAGTGATCTGCCCGCCTCGGCCTCCCAAAGTGCTGGGATTACAGGTGTGAGCCACTGCGCCCGGCCAATATTTGCTTTTTAATAATTTTTTTTATTAATACACTACATAGATGTATGCAGTAATAATTTCAAAGAAATTTTTTTTCTGAGCAGTAGGTCTCTCAACAGTGGGCTTGAATAGTCTGATGTGCTGTCATCCAGGCATTGTTGTTGCATTTATAGAGCACAGGCAGAGTAGATTAGCATAATTTTCAAGGGCCCTAGGATTTTCAGAATGGTCAATGAGCATTGACTACAGCTTGAAAGTCCTACATGGTGTCTTCTTGCAATGGAAAATTGTTTCTTCTACATAAAAATGTGTCGTCCAGCATAGCCACCTTCATCAATGATCTTGGCTAGATATGGATAACTTGCTGCAGCTTCTCCATCAGCACTTGCTATTCCATAAACGTTTGCCCTTCATCTCTACTTAAATGTCATGAACCAACCTCTGCTAGCTTTCAACTTTTCTTCTGTAGCTTCCTCTCATCCCTCAGTTTCAAAGAATTGAAGAGAGGGAGGGACTTGCTCTGCATTAGGCTTTGGCTTAAGGAGATGTTCTGGCTGGTTTGATCTTCTAACCAGAGCACTCAGACTTTCTCCATGTCAGCAATAAAGCTGTTTTGCTTTTTTATCATTTATGTGTTCACTTGAGTAATACTTTTAATGTCCCTAAGGAATTTTTCCTTTTAATTCACAACTGGACCAACAAGCACAACTTTTGCCCTAGCTCAACTTTTGGCATGTCTTTTTCACAAAGCTTAATCATTTCAAGATTTTATGTGAAGTGAGAGACATGCAGCTCTTCCTTTCACTTGAACACCTAGAGGCCATTATATAGTTATTAGTTGGCCTAATTTCTTTTTTTTTTTTTTTTTTTTTGAGATGGAGTTTCACTCATGTTACCCAGGCTGGAGTGCAATGGCACGATCTCGGCTCACCGCAACCTCCGCCTCCTGGGTTCAGGCAATTCTCCTGCCTCAGCCTCCTGAGTAGCTGGGATTACAGGCACGCACCACCATGCCCAGCTAATTTTTTGTATTTTTAGTAGAGACGGTGTTTCACCATGTTGACCAGGATGGTCTCGATCTCTTGACCTCGTGATCCACCCGCCTCGGCCTCCCAAAGTGCTGGGATTACAGGCTTGAGCCACCGCGCCCGTAGTTGGCCTAATTTCAATATTGTCAATGTCTCAGGGAATAGGAAGGTCTGAGGAGAGGGAGAGAGACTGGGGAATGGCTGGTCAATAGAGCGGTCAGAGCATACACGTTGATTAATTGATTGCAAGTATAACCAAAATGTGACACCGAAACATGAAGCAAGCACATGCTGTTGGAAAAATGGTGCCAATAGTCTTGCTTAACACAGGGTTGTCACAAACCTTCAATTTGTAAAAAACACAGTATCTGCTAAGCACAATAAAATGAAACAAAATAAAATGATTTCCTGTATATGATTTGCCAATATTTTCTCCCTTTCTGTGGATATTATTCTTACTCTCTTAAGTGCCCTTTGATATACATAGTTTCTGATTTTGATGAAGCCATCTTTTTGTATTTTTCCTTTTTTGGCCTATAATTTTGTCTTATATGAAAGGAATCATTGCCAAAATCCAACGGCATGAATATTTTCTTGTTTTTTCCTAAAATTTGTATAGTTTTAAGTTTTGCCCTTTGATGTATTTTGAGTTAACTTTTAAATTTTTAATACGGATATTCAGTTTTTCTGGCACTTATTTGTTGAAAGAGGGTACTTTCTCTATTGAATATACTTGGCACCATTGTCAAAAAGTATTTGACCATTGTCTCAATCAGTTTGGCTTGTTATAACACATAACCATAGACCGGGCCAGGTGGCTCATACCTGTAATCCTAGCACTTTGGGAACCCAAGGTGGGCAGATCACCTGAGGTCAGGAGTTCAAGACCAGCCTGGCCAACATGGGCCAATATGGTGAAACTCTGTCTCTACTAAAAATACAAAAACTATCCAGAAATCGCTTGAACCTGGGAGGTAATGGTTGCAGTGAGCCAAGATTGTGCCACTGCACTCCAGCCTGGGCAACAGAGCGAGCTGTCTCAAAAACAAAAACAAATAACCATAGATAGGTGGCTTAAACAACAAACATTTTTTTCTCACCGTTCCAGAGGCTGACAGGTGTTGTCAGATCTGTTGTCTGGTAAGAGCTGGCTTCATGGTTTGTAGATGATGGTTTTCTTGTTGTGTCTTCACATGGAAGAGACTAGAGCAGGGAGCAGGTTATCTCATATCTCTTTTTATAAGGGCACTAATCCTATCACAAGGGCACCACCCTCATGACCTAATTACCTCCCAAAGGTTCTGTCTCCAAATACCATCACCATAGGAGTTACAGGCAGTATTCAGCAACTTGGGCTGTTTGTTGTTGTTGCTTGGCTTCACAAATCTGGTAGAATATTTAATATAGATCTTAAAAATATATTTAAATATAATATATCTTTTAAAATATTCTACCACCAAATTTAAAAATTCCTAGGCCAGGCGTGGTGGCTCATGCCTGTAATCCCAGGACTTTGGGTGGCCGAGGTGGGCAGATCACGAGGTCAGGAGATCAAGACCATCATGACTAACACGATAAAACCCTGTCTCTACTAAAAATACAAAAAATTAGCCGGGCGTGGTGGCCACACACCTGTAATCTCAGCTACTCAGGAGGCTGAGGCAGGAGAATCAGTTGAACCCAGGAGGCAGAGGTTGCAGTGAGCTGAGATCACACCACTGCACTCCAGCCTGGGCAACAGAGAGACTCCGTCTCAAAAAAAAAAAAAAAAATTCCTACATCTTCTTTTTTAAAGAAAGAAGCCAAAGGAAACTCTTTCTTTTTTTGTTTTCCTTTTTTTTGAGACAGAGTCTTGCTCTGTCACCCAGGCAGAAGTTTAATGGCATGCTCTTGGCTCACTGCAATCTCCGCCTCCCAGGTTCAACCGATTCCAAAGGAGATTATTTCTAGTATTGTGGTTCATGTCTGTACTCTGAAATGTCATCACAATTTTTTCTCCAATGAAAAGGGAATGGTTTTCTATTCTCAAAGAATGGACAAATGCCATTTAGCTAGGTATTCACTGGTATTTAAATTATGGTTCCTATGCTAGTTAGATTGCTCCTTGACAGGGTGCTTTCATATAGTGAGTGCTTTCTTTTCACAGATCATCTGTTCAATCATAAGAATGTGCGTTATTTTAAAATAAAGAATGCATCAAGTTTTAATAGGTTTAGGCTGGGTTCGGTGGCTCATACCTATAATCCCCGCACTTTGGGAGGCCGAGGCGGGCAGATCACCTGGGATCAGGAGTTGGAGACCAGCCTGGCCAATGTGGTGAAACCCCATCTTTACCAGAAATACAAAAATTAGCCAGTCATGGTGGCACATGTCTGTAATCCCAGCTAATTAGGAGGCTGAGACAGGAGAATTGCTTGAACCTGAGAGGCAGAGGTTACAGTGAGTTGAGATTGCACCACTGCAGTCCATCCTGGGTGACAGAGCGAGACTCCGCCTCAAAAAAAAAAAAAAGATTTAACAGGTTTAAACAGAGTTCAAATTGTTTCATTGTTTAGACTAACGGTTATATTTAGTTAACTTCTTTTTCTAAAATTTGCATTTTTGCTAACAATTGAATAATCATAGGATGCATTTCTGTAAGTTTCCTTATCACATTAGGATATGAGAGTTTTTATCTCTGTTGGATATTGGCTTACCCAGAGAGTAAGCCTCTTCTGTAGAGTAACCCCGGGACTGTGTAGACTTAAAATATTATTGTTCAAGACATTTACTTAGAAAATACATCTATAGCCAAATGAAATTAAGCTGTGATAATATGTCACAATTTGCCCCTACCATACCAGCCTGACCAACACATCTGACTTTCAGTATGGGATGTTTTATCCCATCCGTTTATATCAGCCACTAGCTTGCCTTTGGTTCACCATTTTAATGTTAATGTTAAGATATTAGTGACATGTTAAGTTTTGACCTTTCTCTTTTTTTTTTTGGAGACGGCGTCTCGCTGTTGTTGGTCTGGGCTAGAGCGCAGTGGTGTGATCTCGGCTCACTGCAACCTCTACCTCCTGAGTTCCCGAAATTCTCCTCTCTCTGCCTCCTGAGTAGCTGAGATTACAGGTGTACGCCACCATACCCAGCTAATTTTTGTATTTTTTGTATTTTTAGTAAAGACGGGGTTTTACCATGTTGGCCACGCTGGTCTCGAACTCCTGACCTAGGTGATCCACCCGCCTTGGCCTCCCAAAGTGCTGGGATTACAGGCATGAGCCACTGTTCCCAGCCAGGTTCTGGCTTTTCTACATTAATAATTTTAGTTTCTGCTCTGTTCCCCACCCCTAATACATGAAAAGTTAGGAGAAGGATCTAATTAGATGTGGAAAAGTGTTCAAATGGATGATAGTACACAAAACTAGATAGCTGCTTATTTTGAAGAAATTTCACCAAAGAAACAAATGTTACTTGTTCCTTACATTATTTGTAAGAGTGCGTTTACAACAAATTTCCAAGGTACTAGGCCTCTGGATTTCAGTATTTGCTGCTTAAACCTGAAATTGGCTAATGATCAGTGATCTCAGAAGAATTCACCACAGGACAGCCTGGAACGTACAGTCCCATAAGTGAAGTGCTTTTGTATGCTATCAATTACATTTATTAATTACCAGTAGTTATAAGTCAGAAATTAGACCCATCAAGAAAATGGATTCATCTGATAATATTTTCTATTCAAAATTTATTATATTCTATTCAACAGAAATGTACATCAAAACATTCACCCAGAAAACCAGGAGCTAGTAAGGGTACTTCGAGAACAGCTTCAAACAGAACAGGTACTGTATATGCATTTATTTGAGGAGTAGATTTGATAGCTCCCTTTGCATGTTAAATTGTGATAAAACATTGGTAAATTTCTTTTTGGAAACATGGGCTTCTTTCCTGCTTCAAATTACTGTATATTATTTTATAGATTGTATGTTTACAGATTGGGCAAATTGCCTAGCCTTAATCTATTTAGATGTCTTCATGTTTTGTTTATTATTGATTTGCTTTAAAAGATAGTTTTCCTTTTTTTTTTTAAGACGGAGTCTTGCTCTGTCACCCAGGCTGGGTTGTAGTGGTGCAATCTCTACTTATTGCAACGTCCACCTCCCGGGTTCAAGTGATTCTCCTTCCTCAGCCTCCTGAGTAGCTGGGATTATAGGCATGCACCACCACTCCCAACTAATTTTTGTATTTTTAGGAGAGACAGGGTTTCACCATGTTAGTCAGGCTGGTCTTAAACTCCTGACCTCATGCTCTGCCCCCCCATCGGCCTCCCAAAGTGCTGGGATTACAGGTGCCTGGCCAGTTTTCCTATTGTTTATTAGTGTAGAAATAATTGCTGTCTAATTGGCCTTAATGACATGTAGTGGAAAAAAAAAAACATTTTTTCCTGACATATACCCCCTAATACATACAAAGAAATAACTAGAAGAGGTGGCTGTTTTGGCCTTTTTCCTTTTTTTAAATTCAGTTGTCAGAGTTATAACAACAGAGCTAGTTAGGCAAAGAAAAAAAACTAATTTTTCTCCTATCTGTTCTTTGCTTTTTACCAGATGAAATCTCTGAGAATTGGAGATATGATATACTTTATGAAGCCCAGAATAAATAGGATATTGTACACCTACATGCGGAGATATCTAACATCAAAAAACAAAATTAAAAATTGCTTTCTGACTGGGTGCAGTGGCTCACACCTATAATCCCAGCACTTTGGGAGGCCAAGGCGGGGCGGATCACAAGGTCAGGAGTTTGAGACCAGCCTGACCAACATGGTGAAACCCCGTCTCTACTAAAAATACAAAATTTACCTGAGTGTGGTGGTGTGTGCCTGTAATCCCAGCTACTCAGGAGGCTGAGGCAGGAGAATCACTTGAACCCAGGAGGCAGAGGTTACAGTAAGCTGAGATCATCTCAGTGTACTCCAGCCTGGGTGGCAGAGCGAAACTCCATCTCAGAAAAAAAAAAAAAAAGTTGCTTTCCTACTGATCAAACTTTATTTTCGACAAGGGTTTTTTTTTTTTTTTTTTGAGACGGAGTTTCGCTCTTGTTGCCCAGGCTGGAGTGCAATGGCGCGATCTCGGCTCACCGCAACCTCCGCCTCCTGGGTTCAGGCAATTCTCCTGCCTCAGCCTCCTGAGTAGCTGGGATTACAGGCATGCGCCACCATGCCCAGCTGATTTTTTTGTATTTGTAGTAGAGACGGGGTTTCACCATGTTGACCAGGATGGTCTCGATCTCTTGACCTCGTGATCCACCCGCCTCGGCCTCCCAAAGTGCTGGGATTACAGGCATGAGCCACCGCGCCCGGCCTGGGTTTTTTTTTTTTTTAAGAGACAGGGTCTCATTATGTTCGCCCACTGCTCTCCAACTTTTGAGCTCAAGCAGTCCTCTCACCTCCACCTCCCAAAGTGCTGGGATTACATTCCGGGCATGGTGACTCATGCCTGTAATTCCAGCACTTTGGGAGGCTGAGACGGGAGGATCAGTTGAGCTCAGGAGTTCGAGACCAGCTTGGGCAACGTGGCCAAACCATGTCCTTGCTAAAAATAACAAAAACCAGCTGGGCATGGTGGTGCACACCTATAGTCCCAGCTACTCAGGAGACTGAGGCGGGAGGATCTCTTGAGCCTAGGAGGTTGAGGCTGCAGTGAGCTGTGCTTGCTCCGCTAAAACCAAAGTGCTGAGATTACAGGCATGAGCTACCACGTCGGGCCCCAGTAAGGGTGAATTTATCCATTCACCAGATATTTTCTAGGCATTGGGAATACAATTGTGAGTTAAACAGACAAAATTTTCTACCCTCATGGAACTTGTATTCATTGATATAAGAATATATATTTTATTTTATTTATTTTTTTTTGCAACGAGTCTCACTGTGTTGCCCAGGCTGGAGTGCAGTGGTGTGATCTCGGTTGACTGCAACCTTTACCTCCTGCACCCAGCCCAATACAATAATAATTTAAACAGGGCCAGGAATGGTGGCTTATACCTGTAATCCCAGCACTTTGGGAGGCTGAGGTGGGCAGATCACAAGGTCAAGAGATTGAGACCCTCCTGGCCAACATGGTGAAACCCTGTCTTTACTAAAAATATAAAAATTAGCTGGGCGTGGTGACATGCATTGTAGCCCTAGCTGCTCGGGAGGCTGAGGCACGAGAATCTCTTGAACTCGGGAGGTGGAAGTTGCAGTGAGCCGAGATCGTGCCACTGAACTCCAGGGTGGTGACAGAGTAAGACTCATCTAAAAAAAAAATAGTTTAAGCATATTAGTAGTACTCTGTTCCATAACAATTGTAATCATAATTCATGTTGAGATAGTGTTTTATAATTTACAAAGTGATTTCCCACACAATAATCATATTTAATCTTTAGTCATAAATAAGGCAACTATTATTATTCTGATTAACATATGAGACTGCTAATATTTGCTTACACTCACACTAGTGATTACATAACTGGGTTCAGCTATTAAGGGGCCCCATATTGAGGTGAATCTTCCAGGTCTCCTTGCAGCAGTGTCCACTCATCTGCCTCCCTCTTCCTCAAACCTGGCACACAGTTCTCAGAGTGAAAATAAGGCTGGCAGTGTATTCTGTTCCGTGCTGTCCAGTATGACACACAGCCAATTGTGGCTGGTAGCACCTGTGGCTATTTAAGTTAGTTAAAATTAAACACAATCAGCTGGGCACAGTGGCTCACACCTATAATCCCAGCACTTTGGGAGGCTAGTCGGACTGATCACGAGGTCAGGAGTTCCGAGACCAGCCTGACTAATATGGTGAAACCCCATTTCTCCTAAAAATACAAAAATTAGCCTGGCGTGGTGGTGCATGCCTGTAATCCCAGCTACTCTGGAGGCTCAAGCAGGAGAATCGCTTGAACCCCAAGAGGCAGAGATTGCAGTGAGCCAAGATCATGCCATTGCAGTCTAGCCTGGGTGACAGAGTGAGACTCCATCTCAAAAAAAAAAAAAAAAAAAATTAAAGATAATCTGAAGTCGTCTTTTTTTTTTTTTTTTTTTTTTCTTTTTTTTTTTGAGACGGTGTTTTGCTCTCGTTGCCCAGGCTGGAGTGCAATGGCATAATCTTAGCCTACTGCAACCTCCGCCTCCCGGGTTCAAGTGATTCTCCTGCCTCAGCCTCCCAAGTAGCTGGGACTACATGCATGTGCCACTACACCCGACTAATTTTTATTTTTTGTATTTTTAGTTGAGACAAAGTTTCACCGTGTTAGCCAGGATGGTCTTGATTTCCTGACCTCATGATCCGCCTGCCTCAGCCTCCCAAAGTGCTGGGATTACAGACGTAAGCTGCTGCATCCAGCTGAAACTCAGTTTTTAGCTACATTTCAAGTACACAATGACCACATGTGGCTCACGGCTACTGTATTGGACAGCACTGATAAAGATTTCAGTTATTGCAGAAAGTTCTATTGGACAGCACTGTTAATTGTTTTTTGTCAGTTTTCTTTAAAAATTAATAAGGAGAAGGCCAGGTGTGGTGACTCACACCTGTAATCCCAGCACTTTGGGAGGCTGAGGCAGGTGAATCACCTGAGGTCAGAAGTTTGAGACCAGCCTGGCCAACATTGCAAAACCCCATCTCTACTAAAAATACAAAAATTAGCTGGACATGGTGGTCAGCGCCTGTAATCCCAGCTACTCGAGAGACTGAAACAGGAGAATCACTTGAACCCAGGAGGCAGAGGTTTCAATGAGCCGAGATTGTACCACTGAACTCCAGCCTGGGTGACAGTGAAACTCTGTCTCCAAAAAAAAAAGGAGAAAAAGTGGAACATAAAGTGCTGTATACTTTTACACTTTTGTAGCATTAGAACTGACATAAGTGACTGTAACATCAAGGTGTAGCCTTGGATCACAGAATATTCTGGTGACTTAGGACTTTTAGAAGTATGAAATCTTAATTATGTTTATTAATAAATCATTTAAATTTAATTTGTTAAATTTGTTTATTAATATTGAGTGGCAAAAATCTGATTCACTTAAGAACAGTTCCTATTTAGTAAATTTGATATTTTTTCTGTAATTAGATATTTTTCATGCTAGCAACTTTATCTGTGCTGGGTTCCATCAAAACAAGTTTTGATAAATCATAAGTATTTTTACAACACAGTAACATAAGATCTATGTTACATAGACACCTTGTTTTTTTGAGACAGGGTTTCTGTTGCCCAGGCTAGAGTGTAGTGGTATGATCTTGGCTCATTGCAGCCTCCACCTCTTGAGTTCAAGTGATTCTCTCACCTCACCCTCCCAAGTAGCTGGGACTACAGGTGTGCACCACCATGCCTGGCTAATTTTTATATTTTGTGGTAAAGACACGGTTTCACCATGTTGAGCAGGCTGGCCTCGAACTCCTGATCTCAAGTGATCCACCTCAGCCACCCAAAGCGTGAGCCACCGTCCCCAGCCATGTAGACACTTTTCTAGGTCCTGAGGTACAATTAATCCTACAAATAAATTCCTTGCCCTCATGACCCATCTTTGATATCTGGATGTTTCTTGAATACATGCAACACTTTTAAAATGAAAAAGATGGTAAAAATGGAAAAAGTGAAGACTTAGAAAACAGTTTGACATTTGTTATTCTTTTTTTCTTTTTGAGATGGGATCTCGCTCTGTTGCCTAGGCTGGAGTGCAGTGGTTCAGTCACAGCTCACTGTGGCTTCAACCTCCCAGGCCCAGGTGATCCTCCCACCTCAGTCTCCCAAGTAGCCAGGACTACAGGCACACGCTGCCACTACTCTTGGCTAATTTTTCTATTTTTTGTAGAGACGGGGTTTCGCCATGTTGCGCAAGCTTGTCTGGAACTCCTGGGCTCAAGTGATCCGCCTGCCTCAGCCTCCCAAAGTGCTGGGATTATAGGCATGAGTCACCATGGCTGACCTCGACATTTATTGTTGTTAGCTTATGCATTAGCTTAGCCTTGTGCTACTCAGAATAACTTACTTATTATAGTAGAATAAAAGAGCAACTCTTGAGTTAATCTAGGTTTTTGTCTTTAAATTATGTTTAGGAAGGAAAGTGGAGACCATGCAGTTTAAATAAAAGCAATATAGCCTCATAATATTCTCAAAATTATGACCTTAAACTATTGCACATCTACAGTTTGATGACGGTTACACACTGTTGACTGTGTTCTCAAATATAATTTAACATAAGATACTGTTGAGGGCTACATGCGTCGTGTTTAAATGTGTGCACTTGTGTTCTTACTAGGATGCACCTGCTGCCGCTCGACAGCAGTTCTACACTGACATGTACTGTCCCATCTGCCTGCACCAAGCCTCCTTCCCAGTGGAGACCAACTGTGGACATCTTTTTTGTGGTAAGCAACCAATGCTATACTTGGGAAAAGTGACTGTTTAGACCAAGACCTCTATGTGTACAAAGGCTGGATTCCTAATTTTTTCTTTTTGTATTTTGTGAGTAGAGTATATTACTTCTGATATTCTGCTCTACTCGTCTACCAAGTATACTTAGCATGTAAATAATATACTTGCTTATTTATTTTCTATTTAGTGTGTCCATGTAGCAATTATGGGTTCAGAGGTTAAAGAAACTATTCAGCTTCCCAATAAACAGAAATGTGTTTCTTTGGATAGTAGTTCACGTAGATAAATAGCATGAGGGATTCACTGAGTCCCTCCTTGTTCATCACTTTTTGAGAGTTTGATTTATTATTCATCCTTTCCAAGGCAGGAAAGTTCTTCTCTCAAGAACCTGCCCAAGACCCTCCCTTAGCCCTTCTGCCTCTTTTGACTCTGAGTTTGTACTAAAAGTCTTGAAGGTTTAGTACTTTAGTAAAGGTTTTACTAAAAGTAAACATCTCAGTCTGTCTGTCTGTCTGAGTCTGTCTCTCTGTCTCAATCTGTCTCTCTGTCTCTCTCTCTCTCTCATCCTCTCTAACATCAACCTGTTGAGGTTTAGTGAGAGAGAATGAGAAACCTAGAGCATGCATTGGGGTAAGAAGGGAATAATTTCACATTTACTTAGTATCAGGAAGGAGTGCTTTCTACCACTTCTCATTTTTCCTGAATCTGCAGATTCAGGAGTATCTTCTGTGGCCTCTTATGCCATAGAATACTGAGTGGGAAAGTTTCAGTTATTACATGCCTATGTATTGGGCATTAACATACTTCATCTAACCCCAATTGTGAGGAAACAGGCTTAGAGACATGATGAAATTTTACAAAGTGGCCAGGCTCTGTGGCTTACGCCTGTAATCTCAGCACTTGGGGAAGCTGAAGCAGGAGGATTGCTTGAGCCCAGGAGTTGGAGGCCAGCCTGGACAACATAGAGAAACTCTGTCTCTACAAAAAATAAGAAATTACACAGGTGCAGTGGCTCACATGTGCAATCCCAGCTACTGGAGAGGCTGAGGTGGGAGAATCACTTGAGCCCAGGAGTTTGAGACTGCAATGAACTGTGATCGTGCCACTGCACTCCAGCCTGAGCAGCAGAGCCAGATCCTGTCTCAAAAATAATAATAATAAATTTTAAAAAGAGTAGCCCAGGTGTTAAGTGACAGAGCCAAATTTTTAAACCTAGGTTTATCTTCAAGCCTTGTGCTCAGTTCTGCATGATTGCTGGCTCATACATTAGTAAACACTCGAAGCCACTTCGATGTGTCCAATCACTAGACCTAGTTTTTTATTGTTTCTTTCTGTTTAAACAGTTGTGTTCAAGATAGGGCCTTATTGCTCCCAAAACGTAGGAAATTTTCATATAGGGACTAATTAAAAATGTAGCATATAATGGTCCTATAAATTGTTGGCCCTTTTGTCTAACTTCATCTCATCCTATAGAATTATTAGATACAGTGTTATTTGTGCATTTGGAGATGGCGTGAGTATTTGGCAGGGTTTTCTGTACCTTGTGCTCTTTTGGTAATCCAGTCCCATCATTGCTTCATCCACTTATTTCAGACTCCTCTTTAAGGTTTTCGCCTACGTAGCTAACAAATTATAAAACACTTATTTCAGTTTTTGTCTTTTAATTTTCTATTGGAAATGCTAATCACCGGGAAAGTTATGAAAGATTGGGCAGGGAAAATTAGACGGCCATCAGAGAAGGCAGACACGTTTCTCCTCTCAAACCTAATCCACGGGACATTCTTTTCTGGCATTTGCTCTTGCTGTTCTTAAAATGTGAAGTGTCCTCTCTCCTGTTTTCTGCCTATCTAAATCTCGTCCATCCTACAAAGTTCAGTTCATATCCTTTCTCCTCTATAAGCTACTCTCTAATACATACTTCTCTGTACTCCTGTTTTGTATTTAAAGTTAATATTATACAGTTGAAAACTTGCCGTCTACATTGATTTGAGTATGTCACCTTGGTCTCAATTGGATTGCCATTGCTTGTTTTGAATTCTGAACACTTATTTGATCTGGAGGAATAAGGAACACAGGAGGGCTAAGCCAGGTTGCTCAGGCAAGAGCAAGAATACACAGAGGATCCTAGAGAGTTAGCACTTAGCACTTAGTTCAGAGTCACAGTGGACCCATATGGTTGAAGATGCAGGTGTCCTACAGAAAAGAAAGTGAATTGGCCCCTTAAATTCCAGACAGTATTCAAAACTATTCCTTCACCTGTTATTGGCATGAAGTTTGGTGCTTATATAGTTGGCACGCCTGCCCCTTCTTGAGATTGCCGGACTCTTCCTTTAGGCTGTGTTGCTCATCTTCGGCTGGCTTGCTGCTTGTGAATACCTTCAAGCAGAGAAATCCAATCAATCTAGTGCAAAAGTTTATTTTATTCTTGAACCAAATTATAAACTTCATTAGGGCAGAGCATATACTCTTTGTGTCCTTTGATTCCTTGCTTGTACTATTAATACTTAATTACTGTTAGTTAACACATTGATAATTTGGTTTTCTAAACTCTTTAAAAAGTTGTGTTATTTTTATAACATACCAAATTTAGAACAGAAAATGTATGCTCTGATTTGTTGGTTGTTATATTTACAATGATGTTTAACTATTGTTTTGTTTATATTACATAGAAAATGTAATATTTTGTATGAAGCCTCATAGCATTAAGGCAGTTAATATATACTTGCTTTTGATTGTGTGCAACTGTCTGTAGCTTAACTTGGAGTTTATTTCTTTATTTTGAGGCAGAGTCTCGCTTTGTTGCCTAGGCTTCAGTGCAGTGGTATGATCTTGGCTCACTGCAACCCCCACCTCCTAGGTACAAGCGATTCTCCTGCCTGAGCCTCCCGAGTAGCTGGGATTACAGGCATGTGCCACCACACTCGGTAATTTGTGTATTTTTTAGTTGAGATGGGATTTCACCATGTTGGCCAGAGTGGTCTTGATCTCCTGACCTCAAATGATCCACCCACCTTGGCTTCCCAAAGTGCTGGGATTATAGGCGTAAACCACCGCACCCAGCCTTAACTTGGAGTTTAAATAAAAAAATATTTTTTAATGGCCGGGAATTCTTACTAGATTTGAATTCGCCTGAAGGGTTGGCTGGATGAAATAAAAAATGTTTTTAAATAAGGTGGTACTGTTAAATATTTAAAATAGTTGAAACCTTCTGAGGATGTATAGACTTTAAAACATCAATATTAATGTGTTTTTTTTTTTTTTCTATTAGGTCCCTGCATTATTGCTTACTGGCGATACGGTTCATGGCTTGGAGCAATCAGTTGTCCAATCTGTAGACAAACGGTAATGTTTTGTGTGCAGAAAGCATCATTTATGCTAGTTTATTTTGTACATTTTTATGGTTTTTGTACCTACATTTGGAATTATTCTTATCTTTTTAGCTGAACTTCATTTATCCAAAGCTTCTTTGATGTTTCTCTATTATTATTATTACTTTTTTTTTTTTTTTGAGACAAGGTCTTGCAATGCAGTGGCATGATCGTAGCTTACTGCAGCCTTGACTTCCTGAGCCCAAGCAATCCTTCCACCTTAGCCTCCTGAGTAGCTGGGACTATAGGCATGTGCCACCATGCCTGCCTAATTTTTTTTTTATTTTTAGTAGAGATGAGATCTCCCTATGTTGCCCAGGCTGGTCTCAAACTCTCAGCTCAAGCAATCCTCCTGCCTCAGCCTCCCAAGGTGCTGGGATTATAGGCATGAGCTACGACACCCAACCTATGATTTTTTTTTAATTTGTTCCCTGCCCACAATTATTTTTTTAAAACTGTCATTGAGCTATCACTGAAAAAGGGCATCCTGTTTGAAATCGTACAGTTGTAATGAAAAACAACTGGTAAATGAATCCTTCCCAAAAATCCCAGTAAAGTCTTTGTAGCAATACCAGCAAAGGAATAACCAAACTACTTAATCAGTATATTAACATGTATCCCCTATATACCTTTTTTCATTTGAAAAAAAGGTTTTTTCCTGTTCAATTTATATTTAATCTTTTTCTGGTGAGGATCCGGATAGCTTTAAATGGTATATAATGATTTTTTTTAATGTTTCGTTCCTTTTAGAGACATGGCCACATTGCATTGTCCAGAACAGCTTAGACCATGACAGTTAGCATCGAAGCCACCTCAGGAGGGAGGCAGTAAGTAACATGAACCTGAGACTGAAATGTCAGTGCAGATGAGACATGCCAAATTCTCTCCATTTCTTTGATAAACTGAAGAAATGGAATACTGAACAATTCTGAGAAACCAACATTCTCAGTTTTTAAATATGACAAAATAGGACATTCTATCAGTTGTACGCTGTTTTCATGATTTCCGTTATATTTATTTTTCATTTAAAATAAAAATACAAGTTGGGCGCGGTGGCTTATGCCTATAATCCCAGCACTTTGGGAGGCCGAGGTGGATGGATCACCTGAGGTCAGGAGTTTGAAACCAGCCTGGCCAACATGGTGAAACCCTGTCTCTACTAAAAATACAAAAAATTAGCCGGGCATGGTGGCACATGCCTGTAATCCCAGCTACTAGGGAGGCTGAGGCCAGAAAATTGCTTGAACCTGGGAAGTAGAGGTTGCAGTGAGCTGAGATCGCACCATTGCACTCCAGCCTGGGCAACAAGAGTGAAACTCTGTCTCTCACGCACACACACACACACACACACACAAAATACAGGCTGGGCACAGTGGTTCATGCCTGTAATTCCAGCACTTTGGGAGGCCGAGGCGGGAGGATCACCTGAAGTCAAGAGTTCAAGACCAACCTGGCCAAAATGGCAAAATCCCATCTCTACTACAAATCCAAAAAAATTAGCCTGGCATGGTGGTAGGCACCTGTAATCCCAGCTACTCAGGCAGCTGAGGTAGGAGAATTGCTACAACCTTTGGGGCAGAGGTTGGAGTGAGCCAAGATCATGCCACTGCACTCCAGCCTGGAAGACAGAGTGAGACTCTGTCTCAAAAAAAAAAAAATAAAATAAAATACAGGCCAGCACTTTGAGAGGCCAAGGCTGGAGGATCACTTGAAGCCAGGAGTTCGAGACCAGCTTGGGCAACAAAATGAGATTCCATATCTACAAAAAAACTAAGAATATAAAATTAGCCTGGTGTGGTGATGTGTACCTATAGTCACAACTACTTGGGAGTCTGAGCTGGGGGCATTGCTTGAGCTCAGGAGTTTGACACTGCAGTGAGCTATGATCATGGGACTATACTCCAGCATGGGCAATAGAATGAGATGACATCACTAAAAAAAAAAACATTCTCCCACTTACCCATTGGTGGAATGTACACACACACACACACTCTCTCCCTCTCTCTCTCTCTCTCTCTCTCTCTCTCTCTCTCTCTCTCTC